GCACCGTAGTTGCCGAAGAATGGAGTCATGGACTGAGACTGATTGCCCAAAACGTGTTCTTAGGCTACCAAGACAATATTCGTTGCATACAATATCATTCAGAGGTCAAGGTCAAGGTCAAGGTCAGGTCAGGTCAGGTTAGGTCACCAAAAACAAAATATAGAAAAGAGCATGTGCGACACATGTTTTATGGGTCATTTTACTCAAAGAATTCAATAGGCACACTCAATAAGTGATATGGACCACCTCTAGATGAACTTCAGGCCGAGGTCAGGTCAAGGTCAGGTCAAGTGAGGTCAAATTTTGAAGTTGGTTGTTAAGGCCTAAAAAGGTGTCTATCTGATGCAATTCTTCACGGCGAATCGAATGGTGCTATTTTTGTTTCCGTACGAGGTCTAGAACTTCCAAAAAAATCATTTTTTAAAAATTTTGTGTGTCGTGACGTCATAAAATTTTGAATAACTCCCACATTTTTGAACCGATTCTTCTAAAAATTGGTATGTAGGTGCACATAGACCACTTCTCTGACATATATTCCGGTTTTTTCGATACACTCAAAATTTTGGATTTTATAATTATTTTCCCAAAAAAAGTCAGTTTTTTTTTAGAAAAAAAATTGGGCCAAAATCCAAAATTTTCAAAAAACCGAGATAGCCATTTGATAGACAAGGTAGAATTACGTATAACCTTAATTGTTACGTCTTGAATCCTTTAAAAATGAAGATGTTAACGGCGTTTGAAATTTTGCCGTTTTTGAGGCGAAAATGGCGAACATGACGTCACTAAAACGTCAATTTCTCAAAAAATTTCCGACAGATTTCGCTCAAATTTTCAGGGAACGTGTCAAATTGATGTAAGAAAAGGTACTGACAGTTTGGCGGCGCTGCGTGCCGCCGTTTTTGAGATATTGCAAAAATTCGCGAGGGGGGGGGGTAAAATTTACCCCCCCCAGCCCCGCGCGGGTTAAAAAGAAGACTCAACTAAAAAAAATGTACATTGTCATTGCTATTATAAGCCATTGACCTTTCACTTAAAAAAACATAATCTTCTAAATTAACAGATAAGCTGGAATCCCCAGTTGACATCAGCCCTGACTGGTCGGTAGTCACTGACCAGTGGTCACCCTTTCACCGGCCAGTGGCCACTCATTTGTCCATTAGCAGCTGTCCAGACTCGAGGGTACCAACCCCGCCAGAGCAGCGCCCACCAATTATTCGTGCATTATCAACCGGCCCATTAGTCCGTTATGATTACGAGATGACGTTTAGAACAGGAGCCAACAATGGCCGGAGCCTTTACAAAGAGACCGCCGATGAAAACCCGTCAGGGGTATCACGAAGTGTTGAGCAGGGACAGCGGCCGGTGGCATTTACCGCTGTGCTTAGTGTTGATGTCATAAAGATAGTCGTAGGTACACCCATTTCAGGGTGATTTATCCGTATGTTCAGCTGTGTTCCTCATGACATTTTACAAGCTTCGCACACTGAAAAGATGTCAACTATGCACTAAGCACTAGAATATTAGACGGGGCTAAAATTCATTACCGTGACGCGCCTCACAGCGTCACGGACGGTAATAGCGTTTTCTGAAATATGTACAGAGAACAAAAGCGCCATTATATCGTGAAATGCTATCCGTACACTGTACAGAGACGACTTACCTAAGTGGATACCCGCTACTGTACAGTCTGTCTTAAAAGTACCGCGCAAAGTGACGGTGGATCCATCAAGCTTGACCGAGGTAAGGCCTGCTATAATTTTAAAGTCACCGAACCATTTGAACTGGGGAATGAACGAGGATGTGAATTGCTTCGGTGACTCAAATTTAGTAGGCCCTTCCTCGGTCAGGCATGATTGATCCACCGTCACTTTGCGCGGTACTTTTAAGACAGACTGTACACAGACCAGTGGAATTACCTGAGCGGATACTGTACAGTGTACATTGACCAATGGACTTACCTGAGCGGATACTGTAAAGTGTACATTGACCAGTGGACTTACCTGAGTGCATACCTACTGTACGCTGTATGTACACAGGCCAGTGGACTTACCTGAGTGGATACTGTACACAGACCAGTGGACTTACCTGAGTGGATACTGTACACAGACCAGTGGACTTACCTGAGTGGATACTGAACACAGACCAGTGGACTTACCTGAGTGGATACTGTACACAGGCCAGTGGACTTACCTGAGTTGATACTGTACACAGACCAGTGGACTTACCTGAGTGGATACTGTACACAGACCAGTGGACTTACCTGAGTAGATGCTGTACACAGACCAGTGGACTTACGTGCATAGGCGGTCCCGGAGGGGGCACGGGGGCCATGCCCCCCCCCCCTTTGGTGTTGAAAGGTGGGGCCATACTATCTTTTGGCCCCACCTTTCAGATCGAACAAAAGTCCTAGAAAAGCTTTTCGTATGTTTCATTTTCTTTCTTGCGACATCAAAGGACGTAAATTTCACTCATGAGTGGGCTCAGTTTCGCATTCTGTCAATTTGGCGGTCAGCGTTGGTCAGCGTCGCTGGCACCGGTTCACGAGTATGGCTGGATCTTATATGGAATATTAGCGTGGGTTTACTTGAGGCTCTCGTAGGCCCAGCAATGGCTTGCATGAGACCCTCTTCGCCAGTGGCGGGTGGGCCCTGCCAAATTAGCGTGGCTCTACGACACATAAGACCTCATGGGTTGGTGCTGTGCACCTCAGAAGCCCGGTGGTGACGCCGTATGCCGGCTTGGTTTCTTAAGGATTAGCGTGGGACCTCCGGGGCCTGCATAGAGTTTGCATGAGCTAGTATGTAATCTCAGAGGCCTGTATGTAATGTGTACACAGTGGCGGTCGCTTGGAGGGGGGGGGGGCATCAGGGCCATGCCCCCCCCCCAAGGCACATAAAGGGGGCCGTCATATCATTTGCCCCTCCCCCCTCAAGCAACCGATGGGCCCCCATAGGTATATGGGGCCATGGCCCTGATTCGATAGTCACGAGGCTAAAAAAAAAAAAAACACGCCCAGCTATTAATATAGCTCCCACACCGGTCTTTGAGCGTCCTACACTGACCTCTGATGAAACTTCATTGGCGGTCAAGCGCCCACGTTGACCGCTAAGAGCCCACATCGACCTCTGAGGCCCTACATCTGGCATATGAGGGCCCATAACCGGCCTCAGGGGCCCCAACCGGCGTCTGAGGGTCTCACACCGGTCTCTAATGGCCTTGTTGCTGTCTCTGGTGTCCCAAGACGAACATTTAGGTGCCAATGAGGGCCCCGCACTGGCTGCTGAAGACCCGATGCCGGCCTCTAAGGGCCTGCATTGGCCTCTGAGGAGGGCCCATCTTGGCCTTTGAGGGCCCTCTGCTGGCCTCTGGGGTCCAACGACGGCTCATGCCGGTCTCTTAGGGCCCCACGCTGACCTCTGAGGGCCCCATGTTGGCCTGTAATGAGTAAGGACCCACATTAGCCTCTAAGAGCCCAACTCGGCCTCTGATGGTCTCAAACTACTGGCCTTTGCAGTCTGCAGGCCCTGTACTGGTCTCTGAGGGCCCTAAACTGGCCTCTAAGTGAAAACATACATGGGTGGGCTTCTGAAGATCACAGGGCTCACACAGACTCCTGCACAGCCTTACGTTGGTCCTGATCGAGATTACTTTACGTCCTGATGGTCCCGCGCAGATTCCCTCATATTTCGACGTCGGGACCCCATGAGCCGGTGTGTGGGGCTGGCAGAGACTGATGAAGTCCTTAGGGCTCAGGGCCAGTCTTTTTAGCAGTAGGACTATAAGACAGGTTGAGTGAGCCCCAATAGAGCCGTTGCGAGGCCCCGCACGAGTCGCGCGCGGCCCTCAGATGCCAATTTTGAAAACCAGGAACCTGTGGGGCCGGGGGTCTCCAGAGGTCGGTGTACCTACTTTCTCCCGCCGCTACACATCTATATATGGGTAAATGTCATGGTTTGAAAATGCTCTCTGGGTTTCACATATACTTGTTCAAAGCAAGATGTATCTGTACTTTTCCGAATTGTTTTATCGTGGTAAGGTCATGAATCCGCGTGCACGACCTTCCAGTATATGCTACACCGATCCGTCGCCATGGTGCAGTGGCCCGACCGGTGGAAACACCGTGGGACGGGAAATGGAACTGGTGATTTTGCCTTAAATTGAGCCTAAAGATTTCACGCAAGAATGAGGTGGATGAAGCATAAGTAATGCCAACTTTTTCGGCGCCTCGTGGGCGTAAAAAATTAGCCGATCACCCCCCCCCCCCCCCGGTGACGGATAAATGTTATGTCCCGCGAGTGTGACTTTGGCCCCCCCCCCCCCCCCCCGCCTTTTGCCAGCGGCTGCGACCGCCAGTGCTTACGTGAGAGGATACTGTACGCAGACAGTGGACTTACCTGAGTGGATACTGTACAGAGATCAGTGGACTTACCTGAGTAGGATACTGTACACAGGCCAGTGGACTTACCTGAGAGGATACTGTACAGTGTACAGTCTGTCTTAAAAGTACCGCGCAAAGTGACGGTTGTTCCATCAAGCCTGACTGAGGTAGGGCCTGCTATAATTTGAAAGTTACCAAACCAATTGACATAGGGAATGGACGAGGATGTGAATTGCTTCGGTGACTCAAATTTAGTAGGCCCTTCCTCGGTCAGGCATGATGGATCCACCGTCACTTTGCGCGGTACTTTTAAGACAGACTGTACACAGACCAGTAGACTTACCTGAGTGGATACTTCACACTGCACACATACCAGTGGACTTACCTCAGTGGACTTACCTCAGTGGATATTGTACACAGGCCAATGGACTTAGTGGACACTATACACAGACCAGGGGACTTACCTGAGTGGATACTTTGCACTGTACACAGACCAGTGGACTCACCTGAGCAGATACTGTACACTACACACAGACCAGTGGGTGGGTGCTGTACACAGACCAGTGGACTTACCTGAGTGGATATTGTACGCTATACACAATACACAGACCAGCGGACTGACCTGAGTGTGTGCGTTTCATCCCGGCGCTGTTAGCTCCAGTGAAGCTGCCCCCACCGTTGAACATGGCCTCCTGCGAACAAACAGACCGCCGGGCGTCTCACTGCGGGCCGGCGGATAAACAGGCGAACAGGAGCCGTTCAGCCCGCGTCGGCGCACACACATACACACACGGGAGAGCTTCACACGGGAGCCAAACTGAGCTGAGCGCTCCTTAGCCGAGCTGTCCTAACCGCGTCTATTCATCGCACTGCCGACACTCCACATCGCCCCGGCCGCGGCGACCGACTCCGCTCAGAGTCATCGACTCAGCTGGACAGGGACGCTACTGGGAAGGACGGTCAGCCGCCGACAGCGTGCCGAGCCGGTCCGACGGCTGGGCTGCTGCGTGGGCGGCGCTCAACAGTCTGTCCGTGGCGGTGACGACATCTCTGAGAAGGGACCAATGGCACGACTAGCGGCGGCACAGACTGGCTAAAGCTGGTGACTGTGAAATGAAGCGCAGCCGGGCAGCGCTCCGGGAGATCTGCAGCGCAGATACTGCGGAGGTGAACGGAGTGTGTCGGGCAGTGACACTATGCTCAGAGGGTCAACGGCAGGAGAGTGGTGAGGCAAGGTTCATGGAGGCAATAGACGCAATAGGCTCGTACTGCATGACGATGGATCCGCATGGAGAAAGAATGCAGCCTGTGCAATAAAATGCAGTGGTAGCGTGCAATCTTCTCATGAATGTCTAAACATCAACATCCTTTAGGACACTGATCACCGATAAATCCGATACCCAACTGATGCAAAGTATGTGGAAGAGCACGCCACATTGCGAGCATGATGGATGACAGGAGATAATGCGCCGCTAAAGCGGAGGCGTTACCTGTCATCACTATAACTTATCACCGATCTGAACAGCATCGTAATGCACATCGGTATTCAAAGCAGACCCCATCCTATCGATAGAAACATTACGCTGTGATTTGAAACCAAATAGCGGGTTTAAACACGCCAAGCCGCGCTCAACAGGCCGAAAATGCCCACTACACAGAGAAAATTTGATCCGGAAACTCGCCTTCGAGACTGGAATTCGGCATGCAAAGCTTTTGCAGTTTATGTGCCGTAAAGCAGCGCTGGACAGCGGCCTGCGCTGCGGCGCAACTGAAGTGCACGGCCGAACAGTGTACGCTCGTTTGGCGTCTCAGACACTGTCTACAGTTGGGGATTCACAGTGGAGCCCTGATCTGGCTCGAGTCCGAGAATAGCACGACACGCAGTCTGGAATCAGAACGACACTCGACAAATGTCTCAGAGCCGAGTCCACATCCTCACTTATTTTTCATGCAGTGGGAATTCCCGACAATATGCTATATTTAATCGCAATGTTGCTTGGAGTGAACAAGAGAATATGGAAAGCACAGCATATGATAAGCTTTAGCCGAATTCAAAATCAAGGACAACGCTCTAACCTAAAAGTGTGACTTAACGGACAACGATAGCGTTCCGAAGACTAGCGCTGGATTTCAGTCCATCATAATGAGGACCACCTGGTCCAGTGGCGGATCCAGGGGGGGGGGGGGGCAAATGGGCATTTGCCCCTCCCAAACGGCATAATTTTAACATTACGCCTATGGACGAGGCATGGAAAGAATCGATAGTTGTTATGGTTTGCCCCCCCCCCAAAAAAAAACTCTGAGCTGGATCCGCCTCTGACCTGGTCTGACGGTCTAAATCCTAAAATTCCAGATTTCCTGTAGTACTATTCACCAGTAAAACGCCTTTTGGGCGACCAACGGAGCGAGCGAGAGGATGGGTCTTGCACGTGCGAAATTGCGAGGGGGTACCTCCAACTAACTTGTGCACTGCACCCTACTAACCGGTCTTTGGCGATGTGCCAAATTTCAGCGCAATCGGCCTAGCCATTCTTGAGATCTGGAAGCGGCACACTGCACGTGCGCACGTGCAAGCGGGGTCCAAACTGACTTTTGCACGGCACCCTACTAACTGGTCCCCAACCGTGTACCAAATTTGAGCGCAATCGGCCCAGCCGTTCTCGAGATCTGGGAGCGCCCCCTGCACGTGCGCACGTGCTGTAGCACCCCAACCTTAACACATGCAGATGAATTATCTGATGGAGACCTAACTGTGTACCGAGATTCAATTCAATCGACCCAACCGTTGTGCCGTTATTGAGGTTGCAATTTTGGGGGTTCTTAAAAAATGTCCAACTTTACCACGCGCCACGTGCGGTGGTTGGCAAGAACGCATGGTGGCCATCACACCACAGAACTTTTACGTCCAAGTGACATTCAGTAAAGAAGACCGCTTGTCAATCGGATGTCCCGTTCCTAAGATATTAGCTTTTGAAGAGCGTCCCCACGGCCGGCCGGCCGGCCGGCCGGCCGCTCATACTCAGGATTTTCCCTTAATTCAGTATGAGACTCCGCTCGCTTCGCTCGCTCCGTAAAAACAGCGTTTTGACTTTCGATCAGTGACATTACAAGCGGCACGGCCGAACACACAAGCCGAGGGAAGTCCCTGTCCTCCGTAGATAAACGAGAATCTGTGCATGGTCCGGTAGTTCTGAGTCCTCTGTCATAAGCATCAGCCCTTATCCATTCCATCACACAACAGTGGGCCGCATTCTGATGTTTGTCACATGTCACGTCGCGTCACTTCACGCCACGTCGCTCCATGCCGCGTCACTTCACGTGACATAGCGTAACGTAACGTCAGTCACAATAACGTGGACACTGGACACGTCCTGTCCAGACCGCCGAACTTCAGCCGCAGGTTTGGTGTTCAGTCTCCTTGATCACTCCGGTATTCAACCGTTTAAAATCACCCGAGGCAAATCCCGCTGCAAGCCAACGAGCCGGATTAAGATACAAACACCGCGGGTAGCGGCTTGTAATAATCCAACAGACTACATGACCATTTCCCGTCTGAAGACACGGCAACATCATAGCCACCGCGCCGCAAAGTGAGCCACAATGAAGACATCGCTGGCGCACGGCGGCCGCGGCGAAACACAGCTCAGAAAGGGTACCGAGCCGCATACTGATGAGGCCAGCCGCGACACACCACAAAAGAACTCGGCCCTCCACGTCTGATCGGCGCCGGCAACGGCACATGTCGACACGTTCATACATCATCGCAGAGTCAAAGCCTCCGACGACCTGCTTACTCTGTAAACGGAACAAAGCCAAAGGGGCGGACGGAAAGAATACAGCTAACTCGAGAGGCGGCGGTCTCCTTGCAAGTTGACAGAGAGCAGTCGCCGATAAAAACGTAGACACTTGAACAGCTGTCACGGATGATCACAGAAGCGAGAGGCCGGACCGAGGTCGATCTCACGGCGTTCAAACGTGCAGGTCACGCACCGTTCCACGCCGCGCTGTGTCGACGTCTCGCCCGCAAGGCCGTCCCTTCGTCTGTCTCATTGTCTCACCGCCTGTCAGCTGTCTCGTCTCACTGCATCATCTCACAGTCGCACTGCATCGTCATCTCAAGTGTCTCGGCCGTCTCTCTACCATGCTTCTCACCCTCGAGGCCTCCTCTATTGGCGTATCGATCCGCCGGTTGCAGTTCCCACTCCACCGCCGCCAGGGCCGTTTCGTCACCGATCCGCCGGCCGCCGTGACCCCGCCAAACCTCTGCATGCGGTATGCGCTCGTGCCAGGCCGGTCGCGGCCGTGTCGCCGGCTTGGTACGGTGTGACCACCACAAACCGCAGGAGAGGGGATTGGCGCTGCAGCACCGGGGAGTGCAGGAATGACCAGGCGCTATTCAGGCGGCTGTCGGCGGAGACCGCCCACCGCAACAGTGGACAAAGGAGCAGACGAGACTCGGAGATTCGATGACACTTGAAGACGAGCGGTAACGAGGGTGCCCGGTCTTGCAGCCGACTGGTCGGTTGCGCAAGTAATAAAAACGTCCTTACTGCGACGTCGCTGGATTTCTACCTTTAGGTCGATTGGCTCGTTTTCTCTTCTTGATTCGCTTTCCGGCTCTTAATCATGTACGGTCTTTCCACACAAAGATAAAAATAGATAAAACCAGCCTTGTTATTCTAAGACCACATCTTCTCCCTCGCAAGAACTCAAAAGCTAAGCAATTGGGACACACACAAGCCAGCTATCCTTCTCCATTCAAACAACCTAAACAAACAACTCAAAGTAAAGTGTAGTCTCATGTCGCAGATAAGCTCACCGTTACATTCCTGCCAACACCCCTCGATTAGAGTAATCCGCTTCGGCGTAAATCTGTTGACTGGCTTGAAAAATATCCAATCCGCTCATGGTCAGACCCGGCGACCTCATGTTTCCGTTACAGTTGTGGTTAAGAAAGACATCAAACGCGGTCGAACGAATGCAGTGCAGGGTAGAACGAAAGCTACACAGCAAGGACGATGAGAAATTATTGCAGGTATGAATAGACATTATTGCACAGATGATGTAGGGATGATTGTCTACGATACAGTAATATTGCAAAGGCGAGACGATGCAAAGTGATAGAAGAGACGAGAAGGCAGTGTCTCAGTGACAATGAGACATCATTGCAAGGACAAACGTGCAATAAAGGAAGAGATGAGCATTTGCAACATCGTCTCCACTCCACAGCCAAAGCCGCGGTTAGTTCCTACGCAACGCGGCGGATCAGGTGACCACTATGGCCAGAACATCACCACATGAGGCATAAATCACTGGATTAGGTGACAGGAGAGTTATCAATCATGTTCACGCCTTCCGAGAAATTCAAACGCCGACGGATTGTCCACTGCATCAATGACAAGGATGAGCTCAATTCACACTGATCCGACTCATGACCTTGTCAAAATTAAGTACGACCGTATAAATCTCTCGAATCAACTGAAACCATAAGCGCCCCGTCGTTCGTTTTTTAGACCTCGCTTGGATTTAGCGAGATTTAGATAACGTTGCATCACAAAGGAAGCCGCCACGAAAACACTCCACGCCGCCTCGCCCGGACGCCAAGTTCTCAAACACTGACCGCAGTTGGCCAAGCATCCGCCCCGCTGTCCGAAGCACAACAAACCTGACGTAACCGGCGTCCGGTACACTGACCCTCTCTCTCCCTCTCCCCTCTCCTCCGCTCTAATCTGACCACTGTGACCGGTCAACAATCCTCCTCAGTTCTCGGCGGACACAAGAATTGCTGACCACAGCGGAAGACGGCCTCTGTTTGGTCACGTGACCGGTAGTCATGCGGTCACGGCTTGGGTCATGGGGTGATGCAATATGAAGGCACGAAGTCGCTGCGGCAGCCGATTCAGCCAAATCCACGGCCGCAGCCACAGCGAACTCCATGTCACAGTCGCTAGTGCGGTTTCGCTTGCAGCAGCAGGAGAGCCACGTCGCAAGAAATGATGGCGATATTCCACGACACCGATTGAAGTAAATAAATACGGACGCAATAGCCTCGCAGCACAGTAGCTATGACAGCCCAAACGACAGCCTTAACTGATGCCTCCATTGCCACTGCACGGGCAGGGCGGAACAGCCGCGACGAACTACAGGAGCACAGATGGCCGGGGTGATAGACACCATCAGATGAGCATCACTCGCTCCTGCAGAGTGCAGACAGCCGCGGCCACCGCGCAAACCTGTCCCGGTCTGTCCCCGCCTGTCCGGTGGCTGGTCGGACACGACGCGGCTTTGTCTGATGGTGCGCCGTTGCCGCCAGCCCACCATTCCGCCCCGGTCAGCCCAGCAGGAGGGAAATCACCGGCATACATTACATGGCACACCGCTGGTCGAGGCCGAGCAGCCCGGCGCGGCGGCCAGTCTACTGCCGGTGTGCCGCCGCCCTGGGCTGGGTGGTAGATCAGCTACCGGGCCCGGCAGCCGCTAATGTATCTGGGCCTGATCGGCGGGGGCGGGGTGGATAACAAACTGAGGCGCCGCCGACGGGACGCTACGTCATGGTGACTGGGCGGGAGATGAGGATAAAGACGTTGGGGGGTGATGGGAAGGGATGGGATGTGATGAGACGAGAGCAGGGCACTGTGATCACATAGTCGTGCTTGAATGCTTCATGTAAGACACCTAATAATCCGACACGAAGCAGGAAATGTTTTTTTTTCCATGAAGTCGTTCATAACCTTGTTTGCTTGTTTGTTAGAGTTTATGGGTGCTTCGAGAGGTCACTAGGCGCCCATTTACATCCCGTACCAGCTCCTCACATCGCTAAAAGGTTTCATTTCCATTTGAAATCATCGGCATCAGTACACATATTTGGTATTGCATGCGTCTTCACCACATGCGCTTTTTCATACTCTCCTTTGGGAATTAACTGCATCCATGAACGAAACAACTCATCTCAACTCGAACAGTCACATGTTTCATATAAACCCAACCATCCCTCCTGACGACCGCCCCCCCCCCCCCGACACTCCCCACAGCTCCCACTCTTCCTCACCTGTTTCGGGTAGAGGTCCGTGAGCTGGTGCAGCAGCGGCGGGTGAGAACCTGCCAGAACCACCACGGAAGAACAGACGAGTTAGTGCGGTCACTCGGTGGTAACTCTGCGCAAACTCCGCGTATACACGCCTCGCACTCACAGCGTACACTCAGCGCACACTTCGGACACTCACAACTGTGCGCTAACAGCACTGATATCCGTGCAATTGCACGAAATCACTGTTGTCCTTCGAGGGCACAGGGTAACAGAGATTACCGCCAAACACTGGACACCACAGAGCACTGGGATAGATCACGATGAGGAAGGATTTGATATTGAAACGTAGACGGATAAGGTCGCGATCGCTCGTTTCTCACCAAATAGGAAAGATTCCGACTTCCAAAAAACAGCTGAAAGGATCAATCCCACAGGGCACTTTCCCAGCACGGTCTCGCACAGCGACAACGACCACCGACCAACCGACCAGCTACGACCAGCAACCACCGACACCGACCAGCACCGACCAGCGACCAGCGCCGTCGATATGACACGGTCGTGACAGCGGCGCGGCGGCGACCGGAGGTGGTCAGCTGACAGCGGCGTCGGCGGCGGACCACTGCCGGCCGGCCGGCCGGGGCGGCGGGGCTGGCGGCGGCACGTCCCCGGACAGACGGACAGACCTCAGAACCGGTTGGCTGGTGGGAGTGGGCAGTGAACATCGGCGGCAGCACGGCAGCACGGCCCGCCCGCCCCGGCCGGACCTCCCCCAGGGTGAGGATGGCACCGTGTAGATAGGGGTGGGAGGGGGGCGGGAAGCGGGGATTGAGCTAGGGAGTCGGTGACCAGACCTGACCGTGGGCTGGAAGACAAGGTGTAAAAATGTGTTGAACGGGAGCCGTAGAGAAGGAAATAAATGAGACAAATCTGATGAAAAGCAAAGTACGAACAACTTACCCAGAAGTACAGAGCAATTCTAAGAAAAGATCGGTTTTCAAGCTATATTAGATATCAAAGTGAAGCGTTAAACGCTTTAGAACGTAGACGATTGAAACAAAGACCAGACAAAGGACAAAAGACCACAGATCACATCTCATACCAAACTACTATAATCAGAAGGAAATACCAAACCATAATATCAAGTGTTTCCCTCCCCGATTGCTTGTTGTTGACCTGACTGAGGTCGTACCATCATTGGCCGCTTGAATTTTGTGGCTCGTCACATATTTCCTCTTCACAAACATATTCAGGAAAATGCTAGTCCTCCCAGACTTGACAGGTGTTCCAATTTAGTTGTTTTGCACTGGTATTTTAGGCGGCAAAATAACAATAGCTTCGTTACAAGGGAAAGCATAAAAAAATCGGAAGTTATGTAGAAGTTATATAGTGAAGCATGAACTACATAATCGTACTTAAAAGAAGACTAGAAATCGACCTAGACATAATTGTGGTTTGTTGCGTTTATTGCAATGGGCCGCAATTGAAAAAAAGTGTAAATCATACATTCATCGATCTTACTAAACGAAAGCACGATGGGAAAAAAATGAGAGGATCACGAGAAGCGTAGAACAGCCTTCAGCTATCACGCAGAGAACTATTCGACTATTCGCTATTCGGGCTTCTAGCGAGCACACATGTCGAATGTTAACCTTCGCCCCAGTGGGCGGGGGGGGGGGCATATGTTACCACCCTGTCGCGTTTCTTGCGTGTAAATAAAAAACCGCGGCCAGGTCAAGTTAACTGACCAAGCCTAAAAAAGTTTGCAATCATGTCCAGCCTGCCGTGTTTGTCAGAAAGGTTTTAAAATTGGTGGATTGCATGATGTTATGGGCGTCTACAATTTGTATATCTCGGATTTTTTATATCCATGACCTAAGGTCAGGTCAGTGGCGTGACCTTTCCATTACAAGTCAATGGAGAAAAATGAAAATGCCTCTAGATCCGTGTATACGCATAGGAACAGTCCAAATATTTCAGAATCACAATGATTTGGACCACCCGTGATGACCAAGGTGTCATTTTTCCTGATAGCCTCTAGAAAGGTCATCCGAGGTCATTTGAGGCTACAAACAGATTTTTGCCAATAACTCGCGATTGGAAAGAGATAGAACGCTGGGGATGGTCTCATTGTGTTTGTCTTGCCGAGACGCATCGACTGATATGCAACATGACCTTTTCCGGTCAGGTCATGACCTTGACCTCAGGTCAAATTTTCAAGTTGACCTTTCAAGGTCAAATTATAGTTCATTCGACGCGTCTCGGCGAGAGGAACACGATTCTGGCAATAGAAATGTCGTGGCTTTTTGTTGTCGAAAGTTATTGTCGAAAAACACTTTTCGTAAAAACAGCTATTTTTGGAGTTTTTGCCCTCTGGAGGCTAAATCCGTGACCTGAGGTCAATTTTGATGTGACCTTTTCAAAAGAAGAGTTCAAGAGCTATCGATTACTTTTCCATGCGTTTTTCTAGCTACCATAGTTCCTGAGATAACGGCATGTTTTCTGAAAAATATTATGACCATTGGCAAATTTTGACCTTTGCTGACCTCTGGTGACCCCAATATTGCTCTAAGATGAAAAATGACCGAAATACTTTTAAACGTACGCATTGAGAGCTATCGACTGCTTTTTACCGCGTCTTTCTAGCCCTCTTAGTTGTTGAGTTAGAGGTGGGTGGTAACATATGCCCCCCCCCCCCCCCACCAGGGCGAAGTTGGCTGAGACCGCCACTGGGGCGCGGGTTAAGCTAAATTTTCCCGGTAATGGCAGTCAGTCCGTCACCGAAAGAGTCCACACGCAATGCCAGTTCGGGGTTCTTTAGAAATGAACCGAAGATCCGTTTAGGGAAAACATGTGTGGATTCAATCGTCCACAATGCAAGCAAAGAAATTAACTCGATAAAAATAGGACCGTACTACGAGCAAATTCATCAAAAATGGCAAACAGGAGCGGCGGTTAGTTCCGCCTAAAATCGCTACAGGTAATTTGCTAAAAACTAACCTTTCCTTGTTCGGATGAGCGAGCCTGACTGAAATATTTCATACAGCGCCAATAATAAAAATATAGCTAAACTGGATTGCATTTCACGCACGACGTGCACTAACAAATGACCTTGTCGGTTTTCTGCAAGACAGGACTTGCTTGGACATAAAGACTCAAGTGAATGTCCTTGAAGCAATGGGGAATGTCTGCAGGGATCCCTTTACATGAAAGCGCAATAAATCAGTGGTTCATTAAACAGAGGACACGGCACCTTATAAGAGGAGTATCTCACATTGTTCAGCCGTCTGTCCGTCAGAATTAAAGAAAGACGTAATTATCCGCCGTGACGTTGGGCAAACCAGGATAAGTCTGACAGACAAACCCGTTTGGCTAATCAATTTATATATGGGTGGACATGACAGCGCCCTTGTATGCATTTTCAAGATGTTAACACATGGTCATGTGGGGAAGAAAATATGAACACGGCTGATGATATGGATATGAAGCAACAAACTTATAAACACAATTAGAACCTACGATATAATTTTCAATTACAACTTATCAAGGTCACGGCTTCAGTCGACAAATGAGATTAACGGTATTTATGCAGCTTCGCTCGGTCAGCTTTGTTTTGAGGAAGCGCAGGAGAATGTTTAATGCCTGACAATAAATCCAGGAAACGTCAGACCATGGGTACGGGTAAAGACAGAGATAAATGCAGAAACAAAGACAACAGCAGAAGATAACAAAATCCTGACATGCCTTATGCCTGCGTGGGCGGCCCTAGCCGTACCAGTTGTGGAATGCGGCGTCAGAGGTAGTAGGAGGAACGGATGGAGACGGAATGGAAAGGTTCGGGCGGCCCCGACATTCCATAACGTCAACCGAGGAAGGGATGATGATGGAAAGGGGGATGGAAAAGGGTAGTCGACACACTCAATCTATGGCGGCCTGATATTGAACTCAACACTCACCGTCAATCTTCCGTGGCGAGGCCCACAGCGAGCGGCGCTCGACTGCCGACGGCGACTTCGAGTCCTCGCCAGCCTGACGGTGTCAGAGACGATTTGTCAGAGACTTGCCGTGCAACGCTGCTAAGACATAGCTGGACTGAGACACAGTTTGATCTAAGGAGACAGCGCAAAGCTTGCGTAGCAGTGCTCAGAAACGGTAGCAGTGCGGGTAACCACAGCTAGCAATGCCGACACACTGAGCTGATAACGGTATCTATAATACACGCACTGCACTGATAATGCTGTCTATAACACACGCACTGCACGGATACGGCATGTAACGCACACCACGCACACTGAGTTATTATACCAATGGTATCCAGGCAGCACGAATGGTAGGCGCCCCTTCCACAGTACGATTACGAACGCATCCGTAGGAAACGACTCCGCTTCTAGTGACGTTATGTAACTTCTAGCGGAAGTTCGCTCACCATCCTCTATCCGACGATTTTAGCACGGTTACGACTTTTCAGGACTTGACGCACTAGAGCACTCACTAAGCCTGTCCCTGAACATTTTCTGGTTCTGCGAATATCGATCTAAAATTCAGACGCCATCCCGCTTAGTAGCTAAGCCTGAAACTGCTATGTAGTACCATCGGGAAACAGCATAGCTCTGAAACCACGTCTAACCAAACGCGCGAGCAGCGAGACTGATGGCCCGCACAGCTGTCGGCCGTCACGCTCGCCGACCGGAAGACTGATAGGATATGTGGTGGTCGGGTCGGTCAGAGTCGGAACAAATGCATCATAGAACAAGGGAACTATGGCAAAGTTTAGCGGTTATGTGCGGTTTTGGGATGGCTGTTCGGTTTAATAGGCGGAATATGGGTATCTCGGGGAAAAGAAAAAACGGTGTTTCTAAAGAGATTGTCGACCATAAAGAAACGAGATAAGGTTTCAATAAAAAACGTCATCAATACTCACATTCAATCATTAAAATTCAAACATCTGTGTTAGATTGTACTCGTAAAAAAATGAGGTTCTTTTTTAAGTCGCCGCGTTTTGTTAAATGTCGCTATCCCAACGTCAAATACCTGGCGCCCGGAGCCGTCGAAACCAAAACACCTTCCTCAAGCTGCACTAAGCCGGATAATGAGTAACTGCCCTATGAGACCACATGGCTCGGTGTTTTCCGGCCAAACCGCTCCCCATTCCCGGTACAGGACGCCGGGAATCCAGTGGCGACTCCGGGATTGTGGCGACCCACACCCAAAATCCCCAGTCAGCTCACCACAGCCAAACATCTTGGGCCAGTGACGCCACAAGTCCGGGTTAAGTCGCTAGCATCTAATTCCTTATCATAAACAGCTGGATTTAATTGAAAAAAATGCGTTCTCGTGTGACCATGAAGGCTAGAAAGTATCAAAGCCGCACAAATAAGCGCTTATTCGGGCTGAAGCACAAGGTATCTCCTTTTGAGCGGCGCCCTAAGCCTCCGCCGGGAGCTGCTCGCGAGCCCATCCGTGATTGTTTCGATGGAGCTGATTCCAGTGAATCCATTGCATCACCGATACCGGTTCATAATCCCTGCCTCGCCCCGAGGCCCGACCACAACCAAACCGGTCCAAACGCCCCATCGCGAGCCATCGACCCCAGCGCCCCGGCGGAAGACAGCTGTAGCGTTAGTACCTGGTTTGCTCCAAAGGTGGCAGCACAGGTGGTGTCGGTGCACGGCCAGCTGGGAACCCTGGAGTGCCGGGCAAAGCGGTCAGAGGTGCAGCTCAGCGTGTCACGTGTGCGCTGGGCCATGCAACATGCAGTGAGTGAGGGTGGGGTAGGGGAATTCAACCACCATGACAGACGAGACAAGGGTTTTAGACAATGGACAAATGCAGGGTCAGGCACCTGGTCCATGAGTAGCGACATGCGTTAAACATATACCGAACAAACGTATTGACGACACACTTAGTAACAAAAACAGCCAATTATAGCAGTTATGTGCATATAAGCGGCATTTATCTGGCAAGGTGGTGTGTTTATCATATGCATGTCCACAGAATGTGCAGCCAACACCTTTGCTCCCGCCTACTTCAAACAGTGTTGTGCTGCGTCCATGCATTCCCAACACCACCAACAGGACATTGAACTTGACGCAACATAGCCCATAACTAGGTGACATTTTAGCAAGCAGCACGGGCCAGCCTCCTGTGTGACCGCACCCCAAACTCACCTCTGTGTGCGCCAGAGGCGCACAGAACGGGCCTTCTCCTCAGGCGAGGGCTCGGGCTCCGCCTCTGTCTGTGTGCCCGTCTCCGCTCGGGCGGGGCTCGGTGGATCCTCAGAGAGTTTGTCCTCCACTGTCTCGGGTTCGGTCTGAACGGCCGCTTCCAACACTGAGGTCGGCCGGCTGCGGTACACCGCAGACGAGTCTGGAACGGAAAACGACGAGATGATGATGATGCTGAATTGGGGTTTTTGGGCGCCCGGACTACAGTGGTCATCGGCGCCCATTCAAAAAACGACGAGAGTTTGTAATCTGAAAACGGACATTTACAGTAGTTATTCTTGGTCCCATCAGAACAGCGCACTGTCATCGAGCGCATTATTAGCCAATTATAGCATGCATATTCGAGAAGTTCGATCGGGCTTCGAGCCCTTCTAGGCCAAGCGCAGAGTCATGCCTACCCATGTGCCTTAGCAGTCTACATAAATTCTGAAATTCCGGCATTTTGGTGCTCGTTGTGTTCCGAAAAAAATCGTCGTAGGAAGTAGCCATCGAAGCTGACTACACCCCAGCCCAATGTTGGAAATACGACCCTTTGCTGGTCCTAGTCGGGTCCAAAATACTTTGCTCTCCTCTACAAATTTATGCTCCGGCACCTGAAATCTTTTCAATTTTCCAGCCTGTGTGATGAAAAATTGCTATTATTTCACCTAAAATATGCAGAAATAGCATTAAGAGTCACACAATTTATCAGCTATGATATTTAGTAGGCCAAACATATGATTTTACTCTTGGCCATTGTAAAAGCTGGTCGGTTCTCACTTCTCCGGACCAATTTTATCCTCCGGAACCAAGACCGAAAAAGAAAATTCCAACATTGCCCCAGCCCGGCCCACAATTGATTGGACCAGCCAAACATTCACTTCTAACTAGTGCGAGAGCCATGAGGCCTACGTCTCCCCCCCCCCTCATACGGCACGAGTAGCAAGTCGTGCGACCCCTGCCAGCCTGTGCACTCACCGTTCGATTCTGACGCAGCCGAGGAGAACTGGTCGTCCAGCTCCGCCGACTCGTCCACCCCGGTCAGAGGGGACCGCTCCTCCTCACTCTCTCTCAGCTCGCTCTCTGCCCGCCGGTGGCCCGACTGAGGCGTGCTGGCCATCCGCAGGCGTCGCGGAACCGACTGACGGGAAAGACAGAGGGCGGAGTCGTAAGTGCAAGGTACTGGCAGAAGTCACAGACAGCACGTAAAAAACTGTTATCACATGCTTCACGTCGTGGCATCCTCTCTTACGTTGAATACAGAATGATGAATAAAAAAGTGCGTAAACACGTAAAACGCGGACAACAGACACTGGGCAGGTTAGGAGAGCGCGCTAGTCTCAAGAATAATATAATGCGAGCACAGATAGCCTACCCACCGATTCAAACACCCGACAATGGTTAGATAGCCCAGTGACGTCCGTAACTCTGGAGCTGACCTTGAAGTGCAGGTTGAGCGGACTGGCGAAAATGGCGTGCACCAGTTCGGGAGAGGCGATGCCGGACAGTGGCAGGATGGGGTCGCCGTCCCCGGTGGTCTGAATCTGCAGAGGACACACAGAACTGACAGTCAGAAAGTATCACCAATACCGTCACCAGCCGCGTCACAGAGATCCTGATACTATTGCCTATAAGGTTACACACAGCGTCAGCATATTTAGCGCCCACATTCTTCCGCGTTACTGCCGCGTTGCCATTAAATTAAGCCACCACCGACTTCACATTTCCACAAAGCTGCACACAACCAGCATCCAGCTAGAATACATTCACAGGTAACATTCTCAGGGTCTGTATCCCCCGATAAATTACATAAATCGTGTAATTTATCGTGCAATTCATTCGGTCGTGCTATGATGGATGACATGACACACCCTCCTCACAAACCCTCCTCCCTCAACGGATTACCGTCCCAGCTCCCCTGAACACAGCCGCCCGATACCTCACCCTTTTTGCGGTGACTCCTTTCCTCCTCTCCCTCCACTAACCGTGTTGATAATCTCGTCGTGTATGGAGCCGTTGTTGACCGCCAGCGATGCGGGGCCCGAGTGGGACGCGTCTCCGCCGGCCGGCGAGTTTAGTCGCAGAGTCTGGAGCTGCTTCCGCACCTTACTGAGCTCGTGGGAGGTGCGAGACTTCTCGTCCTGAAGAGCCTGTGAGAGAGAAGAAAAGGGCAGCAAACTGTCAGCATCATCGGCTTCGTGTTATCAAATGGTGCACGAAACTTGAAAGGAATGATTGAGTCAACACAGTAGAACAGTTTCCTATATGGGCTTTAGGGCACGCCCATTGGAGCGGCCTACAAGAAATCAAGTTCAACATACTGACTCGTTCACAATTCAAACTGTAATAAAGTAATCAGTGTAATCCGCTAATTCTATTCACCACTCATCTTGTGCCATTATCCAGTGCAAGACCACAACACAAAATATCACAGAGCACCTCACCAACTCCCTCCCTCACTCCACCGCCTTCCCTCAGCCTCCCTACTTTCTGTCCACCATTTCTCACCAGCGAAGTATCCCTCATCTCTCTGATGGTCGAGTGCAGAGCCGCTATGGTGGCCTGGGACGCGGCGTTCCGCTCATCCCTGTCCCTCAGGTCATGCCGCAGGGCGTCGGTCTCCCGCAGGGCGTCTCCCAGACTGGTGTGGAGCTCATCCTCGCGGCCGGCGGCGCGCACCGCCTCCAGTTCAGCAGTGCTCAGCTGAGGGAGGGAGGGAGAGGTACTGGTGTGTTAGGCACGGTATGCTGCCCCGGGCATGGTGAACTGTGGCTTTGGGACACACGGGGCTTGGTTATGTGGCTAGAAAAGCTGAAGGTTAAATGGTTTATTTTGACGATTATGGAGGTACAATTGCAGCCGCTGAAGTGACTGCGTAGACTTTGTGTTGCTTCGAGATAACTATTCGGAAAATCCATACTAATTTATATCCAAGGCCATGGCCATAATTGATATCTACGATTACCGTGAAAGTAAGCAACCCCCTTTCATACCCAAAGCCACGCACACAAGTGCCCAAGGGGTCTAATACTAGGTCTCTCATCGCCCTCTCTCATCTAAACACCTACCCTGGAGGCCAGCAGCTCCATCTCCTCCTGTTGGGCGGCGATCAAACGCTCCTGGTGCGCCGCCTGATCGCGCTGGATCGCCCGCTGGCGGATCTCCGCCTCCAGCGCTGCCTGGAGTCGCTCTGTCTCCTGACGAAGGGACGGGATCCGACGCAGCTCGGCCGACATACTGCCGAGGACGGAGAGACAGGAGCTGTCATAGCGGGCATAGCTGCACGACGGCTAACTACCGTGCCAGACGGGTACTAACAGATAATCGACGACAGTGTTTTTACTAGCGGGGACAGTTGAAATCGACAGCTTCCCGAAATATGGCTGCATTAGCTCGTAAGCATGGTAATTATGCCAAACTAGGTAGCGCAATAGACAAGAAAACTACACCGCCAAGCAAATATTATATCGCGGGCTGTCAAAAACACCACACAGACGTCATGATTCTCTCAACATCATACACACTCGAGTCCAGCAAGCTTTCCCTCTTAACTCCCTCCCCCTGTCTAATATTCTGTTGGACCCGTTTCTGTTTCTCGCCTATAATTCCTGTCCGCCAGTCATTTCCGTCAACCATTCTCACGCTCACCTGTCGTTTTTATCAGCCAGCCGGGCCAGCTCGGCAGCCAGCTGCTGGTTGGTCTCCTCCAGCTGCTGCAGCTGCTGCTGCAGCTGGTCCCGCTCCTCCTGCAGGGCGCGACTCGAGTGCTGCAGCTGCGCGATGGTTCCCTCCAGCGCCGGCACGTCACTGTATATGGAGAGAGAAGAGTGACAGTCGAGCACAAGCCAGCCGCTATATGTAGATGTATTGAGCCAGCGTGCAAGGAGTGGAGAGAGCAAAAACAAAAGTTCATTATGTGTTGCGTAATGTGCATTTTAACGGGCCACGTTTCGAAAATCCATCGACAGAAATAATTATTGCACAGTGCGTTAAGTTACCTTACATATTTAACTTTATTTTTAGGTTAATAATAATTGTCCTGTGCAGTGAGCATAGTGACTTTTCCAGTCGAACCTCTTTCCTTACGACGTCACTGAGACTGGAACCCCCAAGTCTAGCCCGCGGACAATCCTCTCCCGCGCACTCACACTGGCGACATTTGCTGGCCGACTCCCTCGTAGCTGCTGCAGCTGCTGGTGTCCAGCACCTGGGAGCTGTGGAGGATCCCCAGGGAGGAGGCGCGGCTCCCCAGACTGAACCGACCGGCAGCGTGCAGCCGGCCGCCTGTCCCCGACTGGGGGGACGGGGACGGCGGGGTGGTGTCCGGCACCGTACCGCTGGGGGGGAGGGAGAGCGGTTAGAATAAACTAGCTGGTACTTGGGCGAGAAGCTGAGCGTGGTTTGTAAGAATGATGGCCCATGATCGGGTAGAAGTGACTGAATAGGAAAGCGTGACATTATTCTGGCCATTCCCGACACCGAAGTTACGACCGTGCATCGATTCTCACAAAATGAGCCACATGATATACCTAATGATATCATCACATCTTACGTTACGTAACAACGCATAGAACTATACCAACTCCGAACAGACGGTGGCAGTTTGATCCAGTATCATCTCGTTAACTCACGGCTGCATCAGCTGGGCGTGCGTGCTGTTGGCGGTGCTAACGGCGTCCCTGAACATGTCGACGGTAACGTGGCCGTCCGCTGTCAGCGACTGGGCCACTGCCTGCAGCCACTCTCTGACGGGGGTGAGACAGACGAGATGGTCAGAGTTCTCTGAGACTGGTGTGGACCATACAACATCGGTACACAACCTGCAATGATGTATGCTGTTTGGAATACATCCCAGAGATTTTCCAAGTATCATTCAACGACGATTACATTGCGTCATAATATCACGTGAAAAATGACTGGAAGTCGGAACACTACGCCCAACAGCCAAGCTTTCAATGACACTTTTAGCCCGCGGTAGACTCTTTCAAACACCCTAAACATATCCCAAACCCTGTGAAGAAACCCACGCCACCTCTCACCGGCAGACGTCGGGCAGCTGTTCCCGGACGAGGCGCAGCAGCCGTCCAGCCGGCAGCTCACCGGCTCCCGACTCATCGCACGCTTCAAATAGTGCCGCCGCCGCCGCCCGGTCTGCCAACGAACAATCACGCACACACGCATACGCTGCGTCAGTAAGGAGGTGAAAATCGGCGACAGAATCGAGTTATGAGAAAAATTTTGTTTCACTTTTTAATGAGCTAACTCCCCAAACATCACACAACGGCAAAGTATCAACACAAATCATGTCACATACCGATGCCAGACGCATCAAACGCCGTCCTCGTGCACGCTATAGCGTTGGATTTTGCATCTCCATTCACGCGTAACATATCCGTCAGGGAGAAATCAGGCGTCAGCATACACTAGCGCGCTATATTGATCGATGGAATGCCACATTGGACGTGAAAATTGCTCTCTCTGGCAGCAGAGACGCAGTGCCCTCAGCAGTCAGCGCGGTCAACGCACATTGAAACGAACGGTCGGACGAAAATAGCTACACAACTTTACAACACTCCCGAAACGCAGCAAAATCTTTGTTAACTAATTTAACATCAACGTAAATATGGACGTAATGTCGTAATATATTTCAAAACAACATAAACATTAGCGTAATATACTCTGTCCGAATTATAACATAAGCACGTCCGATGCTAATTGCTATTGAATGTTTAACAGAAATCAGCGGCAGCGCATGAATTAGGTTTACGCTAGCGGATTTCGATACAATGGCCGTTTGCCGCTTTATGCGTGCATAGAACATGAGTGTCCCAGCACTGTCCTGTATGCCAGTGCTACAGCCTACATCACAAAATGCGTCTTTTCGGTACTATCGCCTCGATCTCGAGACAAGCGCAACATACAATGCCGATCGCCGATGATGCGAAAGTAACGAACCTCAACGGCAAGGCCAAGTTCGACCGATCAGACCACACACTGCGGCACGCAGGTGGTCTGACCTGGTACGGCGTGTGACCTCCACTGACCTGGGACGGTGTGTGACCTCCACTGACCTGGGACGGCGTGACACGGCGAGGGAGCGGTGACGGTGACCCCGTGCCGACACCTGCTCCCGTCCTCCGGGGTTACTACTCCAGCGGAACTGCCGACGCCGCGCCACTGGCCGGCCTCCGGAGGAGACCAGTGAACGCCCTCCGATGCATCTGACGTCTCTGATGCCTCTGCCTCCACAGAAGACTGGTCCCGAGACGGTATGGGAGATAGCTCATGGTGGATGGACGTGCCCCAACTGACTTTGACATCAGGAGAGCTGCTGTCTGCTTGCGAATCCATTGGATATGCGATCCTGGAGTAGAAAGGGAATGTGTGAGGTCACTCTGCATTCTGTGATGACTATACGTAAATAAGCAATATGTTCATCATTCACTATGCCAAAGTATTTGTTGTAGAACCTCTGAACACCTCTTTTGCCAGAGCAGATAAAAAGTTTTAGTTTGACAAAATTATATCCTGTAATATTGTTTCAGAATATAGATCTGAATTGGAAAAAATGCTCATTTAGTGCTTGCAACTGGAATTTAGAAAGAACCATGCTATTTATGGAGAGATTTAAGTGCTATTGTATTGCATGCATCTCACATGCTGCCACCCGTTTGTAAAGCCACTAGACTCCAGTTCTTGAGATATTTACACAAATTTCACTGTATGCTGGCTGCTGCACACTGGTAGGTTATATGTATGCAGTTTGTAGTTTGTAGGTTAACAGGTAAGGTTAGGTCAGGTAAGATTGTTTGTTCTGCAAGAGTCTTTGATTAGAGACTTTTATAAGCAAAATTCATGTAAACAGTAAACATCTTAAGAACTGGCGAGTGGAGAGTCTAGCAGTCTTTCACAAATGGGTGGCAGGATGTGAAACACTGCTATAAGAATACCAATTTAAAGTTTTGATTGTTAATGCTTGCGCATGAAGAGCCTTACCGCTCATCCATTTTGGTAAATACATGTTAACTTTAGGACCGACACACTTTTCAAAGGTAAATTTTACACATTCTTCCATATTTTGACATCCTAAATCCAGATAAAGGTATAGGTATAAGTATATAGATAATGGACTTGGGGTAACAGAATGCTATTTGTTGTCCATGTCATTATTGGCTGGGAAACATATAAGGGTACTCAATACTCAGTGAGGTTCGAGGTCACAATTGGCTTTGAGCTCGTGCTCTCAGATTCCTTTAGTTGGGTAGTCCTATTCCTTCTACCCTGCAATTGGCTTCTTCTGATACATTTCAGGGGTTGTCGTGGCACATGCCACTTGAAAAGTCAAGGGTGTTCAAGGCTCAAGCTGTTTTGGAAAGTAGTGATTTCGGGTGGCTCATATTTCACTTCTCAGCAGCCGCTTGGGCGATTGTCTTGCTGTAATTTTTGTAGGGTAGCTGCATCCCTTCTACCAAATACTGGATACTCTTCATTTATATGCCTGACCCCCATTGCATGTGCAAAATGCAAAAAGAAGAGGTGCCAAATTTGTTCCCATTTCAATAACTTGGTAAATACTGGGGCCGTTTCGCTGAAACTTGGCATACAGGTAGACACCCATCACGCAATGCATTCCCAAATCCCATGTGTTGCGGTTAGGGTGCTACTGCATGTGCATACGTGCAAGGGTTGCCTCCAGATCTCGAGAATGGCTGGGCCAATTGCGCTCAAATTTGGTAGGTACGCTGTTGGGGACCGGTTCAGGTTAGTAGGGTACCGTGCAAGTCAGTTTTGATCCCATTTGCACATGCGCACGTGCAGAATGCTGTTTTCAGATCTCAGGAACGGCTGGGCCGATTGCGTTCAAATTTGGCACACCGCTAGGCGCTAGTGAGTAGTGACCGGTTTGGGTTAGAAGGGTGCTTTGCACAAGCCCGTTGGAAGTACCCTCTCGCCCTCTTCCGTTCCGCACGTGCAGGGCTCACTATCTCGCTCGCTTGTTCTTCGCCCAAAAGGCGTTTTACTGGTTATAATAGTTGATGAAAAGGTATTAGTATATATTAGGTCCGAGTAGACAATTGTGACGCTGTTGATACAAATATGAAACAGCAAAAATTTTAGGTTTTAGGTTAGGTTAGGTTGTAGGTTTGTAGTGGGTTTGTAGGTTTTAGGTTTTAGGTTGGTAGGTTTGTAGGTTAGGTTAGGTTGTAGGTTTGTAGGTTGTAGGTTGGTAGGTTGTAGGTAAATAGGTAAGGTTAGGTCAGGTTTGATTATGTTTTTCTTTGATTTCCAGGACATATAAGTATCATTTTTGGATTCAGGATGTCAAATAATGTAAGAATATAAAAACTTAATCTTTAAACAGTCACTCGGACTTAATGTATACTTTTACCGATGAAAATTGGCTTTATTGTCTCCTGCATACATGCAAAAATAGTATATTCACTCCTCCAACAAATAACAACGACCTTCGTCAAATTTCCGCTACTTCAAGCAGGGAGAAAATATATCTACCGGTGACACTCAAATTTCGGCCACTGATGACGTATTTTCTTCATTTTTTCTTTGAAATTAGATTAAAACAATTGTAATATCAATAGGGCTTCAATTTCAATATATTTTATTGTTAATACAAAAGCTTGTATTTAAAATTCAAAAGTTAAATAAGTAGTAAGCGTGATCAGCATGACATAAAATAATAGTACGTCACTTATACTAAAGGGGAAAGGAACATCGAAATTGCTAGAAGCGTAGATGGCGCTTCTGTGACGATAAGCAACGAAACCGGTCGTATGCTTTCAATTTTATTCGTCTCAACCCTGGTTGCCTAGCAACCTACTTAAAGTTTCCATTTGCAGTCCAGTATCCCGGCAACTGGTAGTGTTTTTTACATTTGCTCTGGTACTGTGTCTGTTTTTGAACACGCATAGAGTGATTTATTTCGCTTCTGTCGGGTCGGAAGTCTGCCAGTTTGTCGTCGCCGTGCAGCGTGGTCGCCGGGTCGCGTATTTTCCTAGGTAATAATTTTGAATTTTTTATTGAAATTATAAAAGCTATATGGCATCTTTAAACCCATTATCCGCAATACATTGTTGTAGGAGTGTAGAGTCATAAGTTCCGTATTCCAACACCCCTGGCCTGGCTGTAAGTGGAGGCTGGAGCAGGAACTCAAACTTAGAACTTTGGTCGCCATCGTGAGACTTTTGTCTATTCAGTATTATTGATTATTGTTATTTAATACTTCCTTTTAAACCTGTAAATCGCTATGTAAAATTTGGGGACATTAAAGGAAATGGTTCACTTTCCTGAAATTAGTTTTTGCAATGGATTTATGATTTTTTATTTCCAAAATGATCAGCAAAGAAATAAATATCATCTTTATCTTAACATAGGAAGTACTATACTCTATATAGAATATTGTTTGACACAGCCGCTTATTACGTGTTGACCAATCATGTTGCATTGTACAAACCCATTGGGCATTGGCTTTGTAAGCAGCATGCTGATTGGCTGACGACAATGTGGCTGCATTCCTCAGTAAGGCATGCATTCCTCTGCAAGGCACCCTTTTCAGAACAAGAAATGGAATATCTTCATCTAGGGTGATTGTTGGGCCATAAAAGCTTCTGACTTGTGCTGGTCTCAGCTCAAGCTACAAAACTGCTATTCCAGTTAAATTTCCTATGTTAAAAGTGAACTATTTCCTTTAATCATGTCTCTGCATCATAGGTACATTGAGTCAACTATCAACTGAGTCCTTTCTACTTACTGCTCCATTTTTTTTTAATAACGAGGCTTAGGTTGGGCACTGACCTGTTTGTCTATCTCTGAAGTCTCAGTAAAATGTTCAGGCTTTGAGTGCCAGCCGCCAGGTCTGTGGGTTCAATGGATTTTTTTGGTAATTCCAACCCAGACTCGTGACTCTGGTTTCCAAAATTGATTCCAACTCTAACTGGTCTCTGACTGACCCTGGCTCCAACTCTGCAATCCTGATAAAAGCCCAATTTTTCTACATTTATTTCCATTGCTCTCTGTATTGGTGTTACCATCTCACCACTCTCCCCGCAGAAGCAGCCTCAGACCTCGCATCATCTCACAATGGGTGAGCAGACCGACAGCGAAGCTCCGGCTCCGGCCGCGGCCGGCTACGTGCCCGGCCCCAATGCCATCGACATCTCCGGAGATGGAGGTGTGATGAAGGAGGTTCTGCGCGCCGGCACCGGCGACGACCAGCCCCAGTCCGGGGACAAGGTGTTCGTACACTATGTGGGCACCCTGGCCAGCGACGGATCAAAGTTCGACTCCAGCCGAGACCGCGGCGACAAGTTTGACTTCACACTCGGCGAAGGTATGTCGATTGTGGGTGTTGAGTTGTTTTGCAATAATCGTCGCATGCAACAATCGTTTTGTTGTTATAACTATCATGGGCTTGAAGTCATCTAGGAAAAGCGAGTGAACAGTCAGCCTACAAAATGTACGTCTACAGAGTGCAGCAAATGTTTTGCCGTGTATTAATTTACAAACTAACTAAATTTAATGCGTGGTTGATATGCCCTCATTAAATTTATTGCATAACTTAACGGTTTTCTTTTTATCATTTTACGACCTTTAAATATAGCATAATTAGATTTTTCCACGTACTCCTGGTAGCCCCGTCTAATTTCTACCTCTCCTTGATCAACAGGCCAGGTGATCAAGGCCTGGGACCTGGGCGTGGCCACGATGCGTCGGGGCGAGCTGGCGATGCTGACCTGCCAGGCCGAGTACGCGTACGGCGCCAGCGGTAGCCCGCCGCGTATCCCGCCCAACGCCACCCTCTGCTTCGAGGTGGAGCTCTTCGACTGGCGCGGAGAGGACCTCAGCCGCAAGAAGGACGGCGGCATCGTGCGCAGACAGGTGGAGAAGGGCGCCGGCTTCGACACGCCCAACGACGGCGCCACCGTCGAGGGTGAGTGGCCGGGGAGGGACGGGCTGTGGAGGACCGGGGTGTGAGGCGGTGAACAGTAGACTGGGGATTTGAAATGCCGCAGGGGCTCTTTTTCAGACTTTCGGAAGAAAGTAGTTTGTTATAGGACAATGCATGAGCAAAATGTAAAAGAAACTTTTTTCGTTATTTTATTTACCCAAGCCGTTTTTACTGTCTCAGATTGGGTCATGTAGGTAATGGCCATTGTCGTTTTGCTATTGACTGCAACTTGGCATGGGAATGCGATAACGCATGTGCTTTTGCCACAACACGTTTTCGGTAATTCCCGGTGAGTTCACTGGGTGATGGCACCGGTGGACTTGATACTCCCCCTGTGCTGACAGTCTAGCAGGGCGAAATCGTTTTGACAGCCCGTGCTCGCCTTCTGTCCGTGCTCGCCTTCCGCAAACCACTGTCGGTGTAGATAGTAATAGGGGCGTCGCTTTCCAATCGTTACCTCACTTCCCTTTCCTTTCTTGGAGGATGCGGATGTGGAAATAAAGTAGTCATCACTCCGCTCCCACAACTGATTCTGCCTTCCGGCCAACATATCCGGCTCAGTCGTCGAATAGCCTGTATTGCCCGTGCGTGAACCACAGCACCGCACTTTTCCTTTCCCTCCAGGGGCATGGCGATAACTTAAATAATGAGCATGCTAGTCACGGTACGCGATCGTCAATTGTGACAAGTTTACGGGCGATATTCCCTCATCTCCCCCACATAGTGTATCACCTCCATTGCTTAGGAATGTTTCATTATTTTAACGTGTTTTAACTTATCTTTTTAACTTTGCTTCAACACCGTATTGTATGCGCTTCAAGCACCATATGTGTCTGTCTATTCCGCTGCGCTCACTAGTCTGTCCCTCCACCGTTTTCAGTGTCGCTGAGTGGCAGCCTGGACGGCCGTGTGTTCGACGAGCGTGATGTGACGTTCGTGCTGGGCGAGGGCAGCGAACACGGCATCTGCCCAGGCGTCGAGGAGGCGCTCGAGAAGTTCAAGACGGGCGAGCGCTCGCGCCTGACGCTGACCGCCCCGTATGCGTTCGGCGACGACGGTCATGCGGAGTACGGTGTGCCGCCCGGCGCCACTGTCCAGTACGAGGTCAAACTGAAGAGCTTTGAGAAGGTGAGTACGAAGTCAAACTGAAGAGCTTTCAAGAGGTAAGGCTGCGCAGGCTGGAGCGAAAGAGTGATGGCGCTGATTATCCATCGTTGATGGTTCCGTTCGTAATTACGCAGCTACACTACACTGGATACACTGGTTATGCATGTTACATTCTCAATATGGTGCGGCACTTTTCGACATGCACAATAAGTGAAATTTCATCGATCTGCTCAAGTCTCTGCTCTGATATCTAATGCAAAGGCCGTCACTCTGGTTATTCCCCGTAGCCGTCCTTTCTCAGAAGCCGTCTGTTTGTTTGTAAACTGGCTGGCTCACCCTTGTTTGCTAACCGGCTCAGACTGGTGAGCTGGTGCCGTCCTGACGGACCCTCCGATAACCGGTCATCTCATCCATATTCATCACCGATTCAGACGTGATCATGAACCAACGACCGAGCTGAGGACCGTTAAACGTGCCTGTGGGGTTTCTGCTGCGCAATCCGGTTGCAGTCCTAAATTCAGACAGTGCTGAGATCATGGTGTGGTTTTTGGGCCCCGAACCAAAGGATTCGCTATAGATCGTCGATAAAATGGAAACCCGTCCGTCCTTCGATCCGCTTCCCTCCGCAGTGAAAGTTGTCGATATATCGTGTTCAATGTCGGGAGCAGTTCCAGTGCCAATCTACATGAACTCTGTTGACCCTCTGCTGTTCCGCTGTCACCAGGCCAAGGAGCGCTGGGAGTTTGACGCCGCTGGCAAGCTGGAACAGGCCAAGCTGTACAAAGAGAAGGGCACCAACTATTTCAAGGCCGGCAAGTTCCAGCTGGCTGAGAAAAACTACAAACGCTGCGTCGAGTTCCTAGAGTTCGAGACCAGTGAGTAAAGCGCGGCGGCCATCGGGAAGCCTGATTTTGGGCGATTAGTTAGGGAGCATGGGTCCCCAGGCATTGTTTGTTATGTCTGGGAGGGACGTTTGACGGTTTGACAATGGCATAATTTTTCGCAGGTTTAGTGGGAGGCTGAAATAAATCGCCTTTCTGTCGTATCTATCAACATGCCATTTGGTCGGTTTACGTGCCTTGGGAACTTGCTGTTGACTTCATCTCTGGGGCGCTAGAACTGGTATCCACCAAGCCCCATCACGACAGCATCTCCGGCTTTCTTACCCGCACTAGCACCGACCCCTTCGCTCACCCACCCGTCCGTGCGCGTCCCGCCAGGCTGGTCTGAGGAGGAGAAGCCGTTGGCCAAGGAGGTGGAACTGGCCGGCCACCTCAACCTGGCCATGTGCTACATCAAGCTGACAGACTACGTCCAGGCGCGCGCCCACTGCGACAAGGCGCTGGAGATCGACGCCAACAACGTGAAGGGACTCTTCAGGAGGGGACAGGTAGGTTCAGGAAGATGTGCTTCGGCGAAAGTAAAGGAGTATTGGTTTATTCAGTAATTGTGTGATGTGTTATCTTTCTTGTCCAGTTGAATGCTGAGCCTGTCAATCGATGGAACAGTTAATGATTCAAAAATGGATTGTCTGTCACCGCCGGTCAACCAACGGCTACATATTTTAATTCTACGACACTCTCGGTCTTATCAGGGTTTTTCCACCTTCTCCAGTTTTTTGTGCCTGAGCATAAATCTAACCGTCACCGTGTCTCACTCCCCAGGCGCTGGCAAAGATGAACGAGCCGGAGCTGGCACGGGCCGACTTCCAGCGCGTGATACAGCTGGACCCGCAGAACAAGGCGGCCGCCCACCAGGCGCAGATCTGCGCACAACAGATCCGCGCCGCTAAGGCGCACGAGAAGAAAATCTATGCAAACATGTTCGAGCGGCTCTCGAAGATGGAGGAACGCGTAAGTGGGGTGGGTCGGAAAGGGTAAATAGAGTTGAATTGGTTGTAGTGTGATCGTAGGGCTGATTTGATGTAGTAAAATCGATGTGTTCCGTTGGTGCTTGGTGCGATGCCGATTTGGACTATAGTTCGTTTTTCTTAAGTTTGCCCCTCACTGTAAACGTCTTTTTGAACACAGCACGAGAATTGCTAGCTGAATTACTGAGAAAACTGATTGGCGCACATTGATTTCACCAGATTTCACAGACGATCAATTTTATCAAATTTGTTTACTATTTCACAGACACATAGCTCGTAGTTGCCCATACCTACAGTTCCACAGTGATAGACGACTTCTCAGGAATTATGTCTGAACTAATTAATAAATTGCACGGCGTTTAACATTAACGTTACATCGTTTGTGCTCAAAACTTATTTTGAAAATATTGTTCATATATCCAATACATTGTGCGCCAACCAGTTTTCTCAGTAATTCAGCTAGCAATTCTCGTGCTGTGTTCAAGAAGACGTTTACAGTGAGGGGCAAACTTAAGAAAAACGAACTATAGATGAAGACGCTCAAGCTATCAAATCTCGATTTGTTCGCCGCAATATGCGTTCTCCCTGTCTTCTCGTATAACGTCGTACTGCTCATGAATCTGGTAATCTGTTAGGTATATTTGTGAGTTGTTTCCCACGCCCTCGCGCTAACTCCAACCCGTTTCCGTCACAGGAGTCGCCCGCCAAGAAGAACGAGGACTTCCAGATCGGCCACTTTGAGAAGAGCGGCGAGTCGGCGCCGGCCGGTGACGTCGGAGACGCGGCACCCGCGGCACCGCCGGCCGACACGGAGGAGGCCCCCGCCTCGTGATCTCGCCCCGCGCGGCCGTCCCGCCCCACCACTAGTCGCCGCGCACCGACCGCCGCCGCCGCCCGCCCTCCTGCCAGGGCGGCGGACCATCCGGCGGCCGGGACCCGGCCCGCCGCCGGGCTGCTCCAGCCCCGCGTCTGACCCGCCCCGGCCGGTGGCGCCCCTCGCTCCCCGCCCGCCCCAGCTGCCGCCCCTGTTCCGCCTTCCGCTTGCTCTCGTCTTGCCCGTTGGTTGCGCAGATCGACTAACGCCGCCGCCGCGGCGGCGGTCTCGGCAAATCACTCATAGTGAGGCAGAAAGACTCGGAGTCGGCCTTTTGTTTCTTGTCCATGTGTGTGAAGCGTACGATTAAATAAATACATTCCGGTTCGCATGGCCCGTGTCCGATTGTGACTGAGATACAATTGACCAATCCGCCCGCCACCTCCGGTTATTGTCCAACCCCGAATCGCCCGGCGCATTCCCTCATCGCCTCGGTCGCTTTCATCGGACGAAAACCCGTCCATCGCGCTGGTAAATAGATCGCGATTTACGCGCGAGAAAGCTCGGAGAGTTCGCCGCGTCACAAGCTCGACCACCAACAACGATAAGGATAAACATCTGCGGTTTGAACGACAGGTTATAGAAGTAGATCATTCCAGCGGACCACCCGGACGACAGCGATATGTAATCCCAGTCTCCCCGGGTGCGCTCAATCCCCTCTCTTGTCCTCGGAGAACAGTGTCCTCAGAATGCGTCTCTGATGTTCTTCAGTTGCCGTACGGCCAGGTCCTCCGGCAGTGCGAACCGCAGCTTCTCCAACCGGGCCAGGCACTGCAGCCCGTCGTCAAAGCCTGTGGCAGACGGGAGCGCATAAGATAGAATAGGGGCAGGCATGCGCCAAAACAACAACTACGCAGCTAAAGTGGCCGGGTTCTGGGTAGCTCCCGATTTATCTAGGCAGAAGGATAGCAGAACAACGAACTACGGGTATTGTCATCTGATCCAATAAAGCTGTTAAAATGTAGCGAGGGATCCACAGATTCCTCGTCTGTGAATGCTGAAAGCAGCTTGCAAGTCTGCAACATGCTCTTCGTCAGCAGTTATCAGTTTTGTCACCTAACAATAGAAAAGCAGCATTTCCGAACTATGGTTCTAACTGGTTTCCTAACTACTACTGATAATAAATCAGCTACGATGGTGAAACTGTGCTCGTTTACAAATCATCGAGCCACCCGAACTACATTTTGTACGGCTAGCCGACGTCCTCACCTGTGCTGACGACGTAGCTCCAGGGCTGGTAGTACTCCTCTGTGACGGCCTGCGTCGTAAGGATCAGTCGCAGCCACGAGCTCAGCTTACGGGCGCTGCAGGGGAGGCAGGAGGGCGTCAATGTTCCCCAGACGTTACGAAAAGTCCAGCCTCAGTACGAGAAAGTTTAGCAACACCTCGAAAATGTTAAGACTCCTAGCTTCAACTACAAACATTTCAATCCATGGATAATTTGCGAAACAACGGAAGGTGGAAGAAAGCTGTTTGAGCACAAATATCGGTTTTCAACCGTTCAGCCAATAACGAACGGCCAACGCCTCCCAGCGTCACTCACTTGAGCCCGGCGCAGACGAAGGCCTTGAAGTGGGCGTCTGCCGACCTTTTGAGCGGCGTGTGACTGGCGATAATGTTACCGATGGCACTCAGCAGCGTCTGGAACACAGGCGCATACCAGGTCAGAGCATATATCAATATAAATAAATATACATAAATATAAAGAAACATATAAATATAAATAAACTTAACATCTACGTCGGAGACGACTACAAAGGTTTGGCTGCCAAGGCGTAAGGAGAACACCGAGGAATCAAGAGCTTCACAAGTCGCCTGCGAACAAAGTAATCATATTTCGTGTCGGTCATAAGCGAGTCTCTTCTGAGCGTAAGAACCGTCCTCTGCCCGTTTTTTACGTACGTGTTTGCTGGTGATGGCCGTGCCGCCGACCACCGACAGGCCGAAGCTCTCAGAGAGCCGGCGCTGCGGCGTGGCGTTGTACTGGTGGCCCCGTTTGAGCCGGTAGTAGACCAGAATCAGGTCCCAGGCGTGCAGCAGACGCGGAGCCGACTGGCGAGACGGCAGGCAGCCGGCGAACGGAACCACCGAGCGACTCTTGCTCAGCTGAAGGGGTAGGAGATGGGGTAAATGACGTGGCAGCACAAGATAGCAAGGTGTTACTGCTGCTGCCTGCTGCTGACTATTGATCAGCTTGCAAGGTTGATGCAACACAGTCGAGGCTTAGGTATTCAGGTGAGCAGTGAGCATAGCATCAAGCTGAGCGTGGAATCGTCGGAATGAACACATCATGCTCAAGACTCATATCAATAATGCTTCGAAATATGTGACCCGAAATTATTCATCCTCGGTCAACAATTGACAGAACCCTCGTGCCCTATTCAATCAAGACCCGTATTACCGTGCGATGTAACACCAGTCCATCTTCGCTTTATCTCATCGTAAGCCCATCGTATCTCTCAGACTCTCTCTCTCTCTTCCCTGACCCTCCGTACTTACCTGAAGGAGTCCATGCTGCATCAGATCCCGGAGTGCCATGGCCAGCTCTCTTCTCACGGCCAGCGTCAGACGGTCGCCGGAGGCGGCCGGCGGTCCCGCGGCGTCCGAGTCGTCTGTGCCTCTGTCCGATATCTCCTGCTGCTGACGGAGCGACTCGCGCGCCAGCTCCGAGACGGCGGAGACGGCCAGCTCCAGGCGCGCCCGCAGGTCACTGGTGGGGGAGAGTAGGGCTTAGGTTAGTTTGGGATGGCCGGGTGTGGATCAGACGGCGGTTGGAGAAATGGTTAAAGGTTGGGCAGAGTAAGCACCGGGACTGTTGGTAGTGATTACTGATTACGATATAAAATATTTCACAAAAAAGCGACATACCTTGACTAAGAGCACACAGTCGCAAAACTATGTTCGCAAACATACTTTCACAGCTAACAGGCAAGTGTTCACTGCACATGTTCTTGACCATACGAAATGCGAGGACCATAATCCCTTTGCTTGATGAATGATAGCATTTGTGAATACACAAGCCCACGCCCTTTTAAACACGCACCCCCAGTGGTTGCCCCGCGGCGTCTTCTTGAGTTCATTGCTGGAGAAGCGGTGCGAGTGTCCTCCGCAGCCAAACTGCGTCAGCGTCATCAGCTGCAGCAGCGTCAGCGCCCGCCTCATCATCGAGCTCGTCTCCTCGTGGACGTTCTGAGGGGAGACACGCGCGTAATGAGTGGGAGGGGTACATTCGGCGAATTAAATGTTCTACAAGAAGTAAGCATCATGGAAAGGGTGATCACTGATCATCATATCATCATCACAAAACATCTACATAACAAACATCCGTCTTTCTATGACCACGTTGGCGACAAGACAAACAAGACACGTCTGTCTTTTCTCTCCCGCCTCTCTCCTGGTATTTGATGGGTCTGCTCCATCTCTCACCTGGAATTTTCCGCTCCTGTGGTGTCGGGACGAGCGCCGCCTCAGCCGGGGACGCTGGCTGGCCGAGTCTCCGGCCGCGCCACTATCGTCACCTGAGGTGGACGCTGCGCCGCCAACGCCGACGCTGCGCCGACAGCTGCCGTCACAGCCGCCATCCTCAGTCTCGCCTGGAGAAAAGATGGTTACTGTTAGATGGTTTATGTCCCGATAAATAGGGAATTTAGGAAATTGATGAGGTAATACTACAAAAAGTAGGGTATACACTACAGACCAAATAGGTAACATCATCAACGCAGAAAATGTTATGAGCCAAACAGCAGCAAATGGAGAACGAAAATGTGTACAACTTCGTGAAAAGTATTTGATACGAGCCAAGTTGGAAAACCGAAACAGGCTGCACAGTGCACAATATAGTGGTATAGTGGCATCCTGACAAAATTGGTCAGTTGTAAGGAGCTGTTTAAAGTAGACATGTCAAGGCCGGAAAAAGTATAAAAGAGCAAATTCATTACACCACTGAGAAAGACTCAAATTCAGTGATGTAGCTCCCCTCAACGCCAGACACAAACCATCGAACAGGAAGACGCATCACGCGAAACGCATACGTATAGTCGATGTGGTGTAACCAAATATTATAGCCACTGAAGGTAGCTAAAACCACGGTGACTATAAAGCTAACACGATAAAAAAAAAAAACAGCAAAAACGAAGCATAAAGACTTGAAACGCCCATCTTCAAACGCCCAATATAATATCTGCGGCTAATTCACACTAACAAATCATGCACAGCAGACAACCAACTTACAAAGCAGTGACACGAGTTCACGACAACTTAAAAAGAAAATAACAAAAGCCATTGCTGGCCAACTAAAAAGCAACAAAACGCACAAAGTAATCCTTAGAATTGCCAGGCCTGCCAGCATACAAAAAGCCACAAAAAACTTAAAGCTGAAAACGCGCTAGCCATGAAACTTGGGCTAGTGACAACGCCAAAAGCTGCAAAAACGGAACGGCAAACGGGAACCACATCCGACAGCGTTACCTTGCAGAAACGATATGAACCTCTCCAGATCCTGAACCTGCGTTTTTAGCTGGTTCACCAGCTGCTCCTTCATTTTGAGCGGATTGATCAGCTGAACGGCGTGAGGCATTAGGGTGGGTTAGTGGGTTTAAAAACTAGAGTAGCGAGCAAGTATACCTTCTACCACACCGGACGTGTTAGTTTGTTAAGAAAAGTTTCGTTGTGTTAGTTAGAAGTCACATGGTTTTCAGTAGGATTTGTGAAAAGTGTTGTCTTTTCATCACTGAGACACACCAAATGTACAGTAAGTTACGATAAACGTCAGTTAAAAGCGAGGGTCCGGATTCGAGCGAAGTCAGTGATCGTTGATGGCGTTAGCAAATGGATAGTATACTCTATTGACCCATGGTCCTTTCCACGCACCTGTCCCACGGCACAGTCCACCAGGCTCTTCAGGTCCTCTGAGGTCATACGATCCAGGTTGTTCAGGTCGATGTTCAGCTTCCCCTTCAACTCATCTGCAAATAGTCGCCAAACCATCGGGGGCAAGTTGACAACCGTTCATCGAAATGCATGAAAAATCGTCAATCGCGAGGCTGGGTGGGCAATATGAAGTTTTTTTTCCAGAGCAGAGATATGAATGAATATAAACATATATATTATATTTCATGCGATACCTACGACACAGATGACCAGGTGAATCATTATACACAACGTCCTTAGCAAGATTGCTAAAACTGTTGGGACATACCAATGATAACGCGCTGTTTCTCGAGGACGACGCTAGATGGCAGGCCGGCCTCGCCAGTCTCGTAGGCGTAGTGTTCGAGGTCCTCCAGCTGGGTCTTCAGCTGCTGCATCAGGTCCCGCTGCTTGATCCGCTGCGT